TTTTAACTTTTCAATTATGTGCTTATTTAAGTAACAGGTGGTCGCAATTGTATTTGCAATAATTTGAACAGTTCAATGCTGCCTTGCGTGACGCACAGTCTGCTGTGCAACAAATCAACTTTAAATGGCGCAAACGAAAGTCTATAACACTTTTTTTTTTATTATTTTATATTAACTGTGACTGCGTCATTAACAACTGCAAATTCGGTGGCTATAAGTAGCTACATAAATGGTGCTTACCTCTGTCGGCTCGAATTGCATTGCTCTTGTTTATAGCTGGTCGCCAATGTCAAAGTCACAAAAATTTTACAACTGAAATTTTATTGAAGCAGCCGAATTGCGTACAGTAGCATTCTATAGAAATTTTATTTGACTTGAGAATTGAGGGAAACTTGCGCATTTAATTGCTCTTGATAAATAACGGAAAGGCTAAAAGAGACGCATAAGCACTCTGGCCTCATGTGGATATTTTATGAGTGCAGGCAGGGAAATTAGTGCACCGTAAAATTTATGTCACAAGCAATCTATGCGTATTTCGGATATAAAATCAAGGTTGTACGGATGTACCCCAGTGGATTTCCGGTGGGATGAGAACTACTTACACTGCGGCACTTGGAGCACCATCTCTTAAGTATTCCTCCACATAATATCGTCATCAAGAAAGAAGGCCTGCTGACGGATTCCTTCCATGGTACAGATTTGAGCAAAAAATTGGGATATTTTGCGCAAGCAGACAAAATTGGAAACAGGCGCGAAGTAAATCATAGAAAAGTGGTCATACCTAGCATACCGACTGCTAGCTATAACAGCGATAAGAGCATCTGTGTAGGGGGTCCACGGTTTAGAAACCAGCTTCTGCAACACTTGCACGAGGTTAGGAATGCTGGCTTCCTGTAAACTCATAACTACGGAGTTCGGTTAGGTTAGGTAAGTGGGCTGCCTCCGTACATGGAGCACACTTAGACACGACTAAGCCGTCCATTCTGATGTCCTTAAGAGAGGAAAGGAAAGAAGACGCAGAGAGGCCGGAAGGTGAGGGGGAGCGAAGAGACAAGGAGGGGGAGGGTAAAGGACCGAATGATGACACCTATGGCTTCTTGCAAGAGAAACACTCCGTGCTCGTACCGAAGCTATTAAAGCGACTGATGATGCCCATTTTGGGAAGCTCGTCAGGAGTGTGAAAAAAAGTGCGACCCAGGGTGCTTAAACCGTAGGCTCGCAGAGAACCAGAGCAGCAAGTGTTGAGAAGATTCCACCTTGTCATCCTCCATGCAGCTGGTGCGGTAGGTGTCGCAATGACCAGTTGGCACTCCCATCAATAGCGAGATATGTACTTGCTTAGTCTCAAGAGCTACCCAGACAACCCCCGGTATACTCGTGGCCAGAAGGATTTTGCCATCTTGCATTCCAAGGTCTTAGATAAGCGCTCGTTGAGCTAACTAAACGTGCATCTGTCTAGAAGCAGACTACACGAAGTCAGGGGAGCCACCAGACCTCCTCTATCCGGAAGCATTTCCTCAATTCTAGCGATTTCGCTGTGACCTGGAACCAAAATAAGCTTAATAGCGGAGTATTTCGATGCGCTCGATAAGGAATCCTTCACCGCCCTGCCTGCTATATCTATAGGCACAACACTTAACATTTCATTAAGCGCCAGAATAGCTGTGATTCCAATTAAGGTGACTCTTTGCACCCTTTCCAGCTGCTTGATGATGAAGCTCTGGTCAAGTGTGTTCCACCACATAATAAAATTGGCCATGGCTGGTTTGATTCAAGATGAAAAGGAAATGACCGAAGACGTCGAAGACTTAAAAAAAAAAGTTATTAAAACTATTCATTAAAAATTTATAACTTTTGGCCTCTTGTTTTTACTTAAAAGTTTATAAAAGACTGTGGTTTGTAAAATTCAACTAACTCATTTAACATTTTTAACAAAACATTTTTGCTTCCGGTTGTATAAAATTCCAGCAATTACAGAAAATCAATCAAGTTTGTTCCACTTATAACGGGTGATTTTTTTGAGGTTAGGATTTTCATGCATTAGTATTTGACAGATCACGTGGGATTTCAGACATGGTGTCAAAGAGAAAGATGCTCAGTATGCTTTGAAATTTCATCATGAATAGACTTACTAACGAGCAACGCTTGCAAATCATT